AATTACAACATCAAACATAAATGCGAAATATCTCGTATCAGCTTTAGTTAGGTTCATGTGTCTTGTACAATCAAGATTTCCAGACTTCTCATGCTAGTATTGCTAAGGATAGAAATTTTGATGAAAAACATGAATGATGTTTTTGATTTATTGGAACGTTGCACTTTTTTGGCTCTTGATATGGTTTCGTAAGCAAATCATTCTTGCTCACTTTGTTACTTAAAAATGCTAAGTCAAAATGCAGCAATGTATACCTTTGACATGTTTTGAAAAGCATAATCTGATGCTGCTATTTTTGTTATAAATTTTTGTCAATTTTGAAGATTGTTTCTTGGCTAAGAGAATCTACAATGCATAAGCATCGTTAGTGACGCGTGTAAAGTGGTTTTAATTTGTGACACAGAATGTTGACTACGTGAGATTAATGTTTGTGATGCCATAGAAAGCAATAGCCTAGCAATGGGGGTTGGACTGCTGTGAAATTGGAATGTTGAGGCCCAGGTTAAGGGTAAAGAACTTTAAATAAATTAGGAGTCAGCCTGGCTGGTTATGTGTCCTACTTACATATTGTATGAATATGTCCATGTAATCTTAAACCAGGGATAAACTGAAACAGTGATGTTTATTTTAAAGACTCTGTTTCTGCCATTTTCTGGAGAAAGGGTTAAACTGTGTAAGAATAGCACACTGTTTTGACAAGCTGGGAAAAAAAATTATATTAATGTAAGGTTCTAAAATGCCAGAGAGTCATAATTGCCTTTAAAGACCTGAATACCGTGATATCAAGGGGAAATGTGTTTTGTATATGTTTGTATAAAAATGTCTCAGTAGCTACAAAAGGAATGTTGTGCTTTTTTACCCCCAATTAATGTAACGATTGTCTCCTCCAGCATAGAATTGAACAAATCTGAATCAAGCTTCCTGATCTAAGCAGAATTCTTCTCTCTATTATGTTTCAGTACATGCCTTGTGTAGATTTTTTTTATGGTGATCAAGATGGTTTCTCAGACTTTGCAGGGGTGTATGAATATTGTAAAAAAATATTTTCTTCTACTTGCTGCCCTCTCCTAACTATAACTAGAAACAGATGTGCATTTTACCAAAATATTATGTCATTAATTTTCATTTTAATCTTAGGTTATGTTTGACTTTTTTTTTAGTTGACTTTTTGCTTTTTAAATTTTGTCAGTGGTTCACTTATTTTTCCTGTTCTCTTTACAACTCACCTTAATATGCCCTTTCTTTCTCTAGTTGTCATTCATGTATATTTACATTTGCTGACAATATAATACATCTCCATGGTCTTGGCTCCTACAGAAGAATTTTATCGGAGCATATCAAAGCTGAAATTACCTGATTATGGATATCTTTCACTATCAGTCCACCTTAACTGAGCAGTTTCACCTGAACTATTGAACCTTTTGTATCTGCTTATGTTAAGTAGTTTGATACTAAGAGAAGTACAATATTCACTAATTAATCTATAGCGCTTATTATTTTTATCACTAAGTCTTGGTCCTTTGCAAACAAAAAACAGACATTTCTGGAGAAACTCAGTCTAGATTAATACCTCCAATGCTTCATCTCTGAAAACTTTAGAGATGGCCCTGCCTGTCCACCTCTCCTCTGCCAGTGACCCTGTTTCTTACTGCAGGTCACTGTGAGCAGAGTGCTATGTCTGTGCAAGAGACTCCTGCCAAAGTCGTAGTAGTCATCAGGGTGTGACACTTAGGTTTCCATCACCTCAGCTCATATCAGGGAAACACCTGGAGGTAGTGGTAGGCAAAGAAAGGAGGAGGCTTCTTGAGTGCCCACTAAAGGCACAGGTGTTCGTTGAATGTGTGTAGTTTGCACTTCCAGTATGTATCTAATCACTTGCACTATTGTTACGTTTGATTTAGTCTTAGCTTTGTTGTCCATCCCTAATTGCCCTCAGTGATGCCAACAAATGACAAAAATCTGATTGACTGAGTAGTTGAATAGCTTGTGTGTACCACACTGGTAAAACCCTTTGGATCACTGCAAGGGCAGATGGTGTATTTTTCTCTGTTATAAAATACCTAAAGCCTGAAGAAAGCTAGTTTATTTTTCCCTCACCAGTTGTTGAAAGCTATGGCCTTAACCAGTAGATAGGAAACTTGGTAGTCAGAACAACAATTGCCTGTGCAGAAGAATTGGGGGGACAAAAACCCTGAAGAAAAGGGACTGAAAAACAAGAAATTTTGGCAAGTGAAAGAACCATCTTCGTACCTGTTGATTGGGCTTTGGTACCCTGTGGATTGGGGCCATTAAACTAGCTCCCCATTTTTTCCCCTCCACTCATAACACCAATGTTTGAAAATCTGTCATTGTTTGTGTGCACATGTGTGTGCAAGTGGGGGATGTTTAGAATGGGGAATGATGAAACTAATCGAATTATATTTCAAAAATTCATGGCTCTTTAACTGTGCTTAGAATCTGCGTTTACAATAAACAGTACCACTTGTTAAGTACAGAAACCTAGCTCAGGTTTCCTGTTGGCTTAGGTCTATCTGACTGGTGAATAAGATGCTTACATGCTTGGATCAACTTTTTAAACTTTATCAGGGCTTGATTTCCAGCACTCTAATCCAATAAGTTGTGGCACACACACACAGTTCCTCCCACTTTGTGTCCAGCCTTTGCAAAGTCAAGAAAGAACTGTGCAGTTATACAAGATTGTAAGATTTTATTACGTCATGTGAAGAAATATATCCAACCCTACTCCAGTGACATACGGAATTCTCCCATTCTTTACATTTCACATTACAATTCCTGTTAACACTGTGACCCTGCAACCTACCCACCCCTCCATTTCACCATTGATACCCCTCACTTGTTGTCATCAGTATTCATGTCCCAAAGGCTTTCTGAACCTCCAGTCTCCTAGAGGCCACCTGCGCGATCAGTTTTCTTGACTCATGCGCATGCACACACGCACACCCAGTAACCACAAGATCATATATTCCACGACCTACCAAGTTCTAAAGTTAACATATCAAATTCCTTGTATGGCAGTGACATACCCTTTTGAGAACCATTGCCATAGACACAGCTCCACATGAGCTTCCTGCTGCATGGATTGCATTGTGGACCGCCACTTCACTTGATTCTGCCTTTGCAATCATTGTCCCAAACTCGCCAGAATAGGGTAGAAACTAGTGTGAGATTCACTTTTCCACCCTGGACAGACAGTGTCCACTCTTGTTTCACCATCTCTCCCACGCATATAATGTTACAATGTTAGGGCCTCAATTTCTACAATTTATATTAATTGGTTTCATGAAGGATCAAAATTTATAGTTGCTAGATTTGCTGATGATACAAAGATAAGTATGAAGGTTAGTTGAGGTTAGAGGATAAAAGTGACCCATGGAGTCTAGAGAGAGAGACAGACTGACAAACAATTGGGGGTGGTTTAACTTGAGGGTCGTCATGCCTCAGGTGAGGGGAGAGATTGAGAAGGAGAGTTGCTCTTGATAACCTCAGCCAGGGCGGGAATTAAACCCCTGCTGTTGCGTCACTCTGCATTGCAAACAGTCATCTAGCAAACCTGAGCACGATCAGCTGGATTGACTAACGAAGGACTCATTGGTTATAGGGGGTATGTGGGAATGTGGATTTTGGACCACAGTCAAATCAGCTAAAACTTGGAATGAGAGAGCAGGATAGTGGTGAGAATTTGCTTGCTCCAAATTCAAATGTTCATTTGTTAACGTGACATTCAGCCACTGATAGCCATTCTTTCAACTGTCTATTAAATGGCCTTCAGCCACAGTCTGCTTCCCCCTTAGCCACGTCAGCTGTCCCTTGTCCTGTCGAAGGGTTTTGGCCTGAAATGTTGAATTTTCTGCTCTTCGGCTGCTGTCTCACCTGCTGTGCTTTTCCAGTTACACATTTGTTGGCCTTGGCTCTTTCCCCTTAACCACTGAGGCTCTAACATGTCCTTCAGTCACAGCTTGCCTTCCTTGATCTTCTCTTTGATACTTTGACTGCATTTGGAGAGCTTGCACTGCAACTTAATACAATGACCATTTATGGCAAATTGCTACCAGGTTAAAAGTAAGTAGCTATCCGAAGTCCAGGGAGAAGTGAATCTTGCCAGGAAAACTTATATAAAAGTAAAATGCTATGGATGCTGGATATCTGAAATAGAAACAAAGTGCTGCAGAAACTCAGCAGGTCTGGCAGGACCTATGGAGAGGGAACCAAAGTTAAGGCTTCACGTCCAATGACTCTTTTAATTCATTGAACTCAAAGTTAACTCATCCCCCTGCAATAGATATTGCCAGACCTGTCAGAAACCAGTCTGGTGTCTGAAGCAATGGTTTTCTGAATTGTGCAGAGGTTAACTGGGAAGACTGACTTCATTCCAGGAAGTTGTGCTTTTAATGAGATGCTAATGCAAGTAGCTGAGCTTCATGATAACTGCTGTTGAAGGGTCAACCCACTTTTTAAGAGAAGTTAATGGCTAAAGTTTACCTTGAGACCTGCTTTTTTTCTGACTCTAATTAAATTTACCCACCTGCTATTCTTCTCATCTCCACTGAGGGGGACAGAAAGCCTCGTCCCCATTTTGGAGTTCTTCTAGATATTCTGCTTGGACAATGACAGACAGTGTATTGAATCAATTACATTATCTTGGAGGTTATTCCTAACTACAGGGATGCAAGAGCGTATGTCCCTGGGCTAGTTCTGTACCAAAACACTTGTGAACTGATAGGATATCAAAACAAGCACAAGTGGTAAGCTTAATTCTTTGAACAAAAAAAAATTCAAAGTGACAATTGGATTTTCATTTGACCCACTTATACAATTTGTTTGTGTAGTTTTAGTATTAGATTTGTTTCAGATATTTCTGTTTTAATGGGAATGCTGTATCAAAATTATTTGCAAATGTAATTGCACAGGTTTTCTTATGTATCAGTGCTGTTGTTTTGTTCACATTGCTTAAATACTAACATACTATTTTTCCCTTAAAGTTTTGGCAAGCGCTCAGCTGGAAGTTTGAGACGTGGCTGTGAATGTATTGTACTAGAACCTTCAGAAATGATTGTGGTAAGATTAATCTTTTAGTAGCAAGTATGACTAATATAGTACTGTACTTTGGATAACTGTTCTGAAGAAATCTCTCTGATCATGCAGCACTTCCAAAATGAATTCTGTTTGAGACAGGACCGCAACTCAATCATTTTGTTTTATTCCATCAGTTTAAGCTAAATCTATTTGGATTTTACTCTATCTGGTGTTATTTTATTCTCTAGTTTCATATTATGCATTTTTAATCAAATTTTAAATTGAGTGTATTTTGAAGTGATCTTCTGCAGCAGGTGGGTATATCATACAGTGACTGGATGTGCGCTTGTACTTTTAATTTCACTGCAGAATTTATTTATCATGTTGACTGGTTTGTTTACACAAAAACTCTTCCCTGGCCAATATTTTGCATCTCCTTGTCATCAATATGAATTGCATGATATTATCAAAGGCCTTGGAATACATTGCTCATTGGTCTTCCTAAATATTCCCTGGTAAGTGATGTAATGGAGTATTGAAGAGAAGACCTTAGAATAGAAAGATATTTTAAAAGCACTGTGGATGTCTTTTTATCAACCTGTTTGGACATCATATGACACACCTGCAGTGAATCTGCACTTTCTGGCCATGATATGGGGACAATATCACTGTCCTGCAAAACCACTAAAGACATTGTGGATATTTACTGCATTCTAACATTGTGGAATATTATGCTGAGCAGTTATGACATATAGTCAAGGATGTATTTAAAGTAGTTGAAACTTTTTTCCCCTAAAAAATTTAGAAATTCGGGCATTTACTTTGCACTCCTCCTTTAAAAAGAATGTGTCACATCAGTTTTGTTGCATATCTTTTGGATGGCTCATTAATGAAGTAATGAGTTCTGAACTAATTTCAAGTTTAGGAGATTTTATGGTATAAATATTTTTGCAAGTTCATTTTTGTCCAGTTGCACACTGTGGTGATCTCTTAAATGCATGCCAAAATCCGTTGTTTAAGTTACAATTTTGTACAGTTCTTTACTTGTGAATGTTAATAACCAATGAAATATCCCAAATTTAATCGCCTGTTCAGCTTAAAACAAAGTAAGTCGGGAGCCCTTCAATTTTCTTCTGTCATAACTTTGCTAAAAAGGATACAAGGTACAATATTTTAAAAATTAATTGCTTTAGAAAGGAGAATATTTTTTGAAACTTTGCCCTTCAAAACATTGACATTCAAGTTGGTTAATGATGATTAAGTTAATTTTATTATTGTTGATGATTAAAGTGGTTGTATCCTTTTATTTCAGCATGTTTCAGCAGGGTTTCATAGTAATTAGCCAAAAAATTCAAGATCTGGAAGGACAATCATTATTCAAGGAAATAGCCAGTGAAAGTTTCTAGTTCTTTCTGGTAATAAGCACTGTACCATGGATAATTGGCAAAGAAAATTACAAATTAATTCAACCTTTTTTAACTTTTGAGAAAAAAACCTGAATCTGAAATTATATTGGTGTAGTAGTCAAAATTTACTGACCTTTTGTAAGCTTACTCTAATAGCTGGTGCAGTGCATCCATTCAATATCATTGATGAAGAACCCGAAACGTCAGCTTTCCTGCTCCTCTGATGCTGCTTGGCCTGCTGTGTTCATCCAGCTCTACACCTTGTTATCTCAGATTTTCCAACATCGGCAGTTCCCACTATCTGTTTACTTTGGAAGATGTTTCCATGCATATTCATTTATGCAAGTGAAGGAATCAATGAACAGTAGGCAAAAAGCTCTTTACATTTGAAGAATTTATTGAAAAACACTTGGCTAGTTATATCTATGTGAATCTATTACAAACATTTAATTTTTTTTTTATCTACACATTTTAGCAGTTTTGCTGAGCATCTGTGCCAAGCTCAGAGCATTGTAGTTTCAATGTATAATAGGGCAAAATACACATGATAGGTTGAAATGAGATTGGGAGTTGCTCCACTTACTGGAGCTCCACATAACAAAAGGAAAGTGATCATGGGATTGGAGGCCAATCTTCTCAGCTCAAGATCATTTCTATCAAGGTTGAGGTTAGTTTATTATGAAACTTTTGTTGAGAGTTGCAAAGTAGAATTATTATCTAAAATATAGATACAAAGATTAGTTAAGAAGTTAAGAAAAGATAGAAGGATGCAAGTAAGATCAGTCTGTTATTATTGAGGCCTGCTCATTGCTTGAAGATCCTCTTTCTGAGGTGAAGGAGTTAAAAACTTGAAATCAGAGTTCAGCAGCTATGATGGCTTCTATAGTTAACTGTTTGGTTGCTTCCAAAGATGGAGTGAGCACACGAGGTTCTGGGTGGGAGTAAAGATTTCTTTATTTAGCTTTACTGCAATGTATGATGTAACCCTCAGTTAAAAACCAAAAGAACTGCAGATACTGTAAATGAGGAACAAAAGCAAAGTTGCTGGAAAAGCTCAGCAGGTCTGGCAGCATCTGTGAAGAAAAAAATCAGAGTTAACAGTTCGGATCCGGTGACCCTTCCTTAGAGCGTTCTGAGGAAGGGTCACAAGACCCGAAACATTAACTCTGATTTCTTCTGCACAGATACTGCCAGACCTGCTGAGCTTTTCAAGCAGCTTTGTTTTTGTAACCCTTGGTTGCCTGGTTCAGTACAACAACCCTTGTCTGGCTAACCTATTTGTCTTCCTATTGGGAAATCAGTCTTCTTTCTGATGGTGTGCCTGAGGTCGTTTTCGAGGTAACTTGGTGTCTTACACTGATCAAATTTAAGGCTGTTATGTTAACTTTTGAATTGTTGTTTCACAAAGCATTGTCTGTTATTCATCCTTTCTCTGTGGATGTCCTTCCTGCCCTCTGTTTTTCTCGAACTTTTTCTCAAAAGCTTTAATTCTCAAAACTGTGACAACATCCATTGTGTCACCCGAGGGTTATTTAAATTCTAAATATCTCCCTTGATGAATGATGCTGAGATAACACACCAGTTTACTTTATAATTTACAATTAATTAGAGTGGTCATTATATCTTTTGGAAGTCATCTCATAATGTGCTGTATTCATTTTAAAAATTGCAAATTAATTTCCTTTAGAAATATATAATATGGTCATTTTCAGGTACAGATTATAAAAAGTAAACTTTCTCCTCATCTCTTTCTGGATATTTTGCAAATTATTTTAAATTTGCAACTTTTAGTTATTGAGCCACTCATCAGTAGGAATAGAGTTTCTGTGTTTACTCTATGAAAAATTATCATCTTAAATCCTCTATTAGGTTACCTCTTAGTCTACTTTGTGGCAAGTTTTTAAAGATCCCTTTGCACCAAAGCACTCTGAAGTTTCTGTCCATTGAGATAATAAGTTGCCTTTCTGTTCCTCTGACCAAAATGGATAACCTCACACTTATCCGTGTTAAACTTCATCTGCCGAATTTTAGCCCATTCACCTAACCTATTCATGTCTGTTAGAAAATTTTCTATTTCTTCTTTGCAACTTACTTTCCGACCTATTTTAGAGTCATCTGCAAATTGGCTGTAGAAATTTCTATCCCTGCGTTCAAGTTGTTAATATAGATGGGGCCTGAGGATTGAACCCTGTGGCACTCCATTAGTTACATCTTGCCAACCAGAAAAAGACCCATTTTTCATGACTTTCTGCTTTCAGTTGGTTAGCCATTCCGCTATCTGTAAGCTAGTAAATTACCCCCAACCCCATTTGGTGTTAAGTATTAACCTTTTGTGCAGTACCTTAATAAATAGTTTCTGGAAGACCAGACATACTACATCTACAGGATCTCCATTATCCACCTTGCTTGTTACATCTTCGAAGAACTCGTAACAAATTAGTCAAACCTTCATAAAACCATGCTGACTCTGACAGATGCATTTTGAGTTTTCAAATAACCTGTTATTATTTCCTGAATGGATTCAATTTCCCAGTGATACGTGTTAAACCAACTGGTCCACGGTTTCCGGCTTTCTGCCTCCCTTCTTTTTTGAATAAGGATGTTTAATAACGTTTTTACCATCAACTGGAATCTTTCTTGCATTCAGGGAATTTTGGAATATTATAAGCAATGGATCCACTATCTCTGCTGCCGTTTCTTTTAAGACCCTAGGATGTAGGCCGTCAGGTGCTGGGTACTTGTCTGCCTTGACTTGTGATGATGATCATTTCTAAGCTTCTCCCTTTCTCCATTACTATTTGATGGTGCATGTGTCCTCCATCGTGAAAACTGAAGCAAAATATTGGTTTGGTAACTCTGCCATTTCCTGCATTCTATATTATTAACTACCCGGTCTCATCCCATAGTGGTAGCTCACCGCTGCCTCACAAGGCCAGATCTGGGTTCAATTACAACCTTAGGCTTTTGTCTGTGTGGAGCTTATGTGCCTCCCTGTGTCTGCGTGGCTTTCTGCAGGGTGTTCTGATTTCTTCCCATAGTCCAAAAATGTGCAAGTTAGGTAGATTAGCCATGCTAAATTGACCCATGATGTCCAGGGTTGTGCAAGCTAGGTGGGTTCGCTGTGGTAAATGCGAGGTTACAAGGATGGGGCAACGTGGGTAGTGGGTAGAGGGTTGGTGCACACTTGAAGGGGTGAATGGACTCTGTCTCCACTCTAAGGATTCTATGATCCTCAAGGGACCAACAGTCACTTCAGCTACTGTCTTCCCTTTTATACGCTTACGGAAACTTTCACTGGCCATTTTTATGTTCCGTGCTAGTTTTTTTTCAAATTTTATCTTTGCTCTTTTCATTGCTTTTTTTAGTAACCCTTTGTTGATTTTTCCCAATCTTTCAGCCTGCCACTTGACGTTGCAATATGGTATGCCTTCATTTTTGTCTTTATATTATCTTTAGTTTCCTTGCTTAGCCATGGATGTTTTTGCCCCCTCTTACAATCTTCCTTTCTGGAATATATTTTAGTTGGGAGCAATGAGTACCTCCTTAAACATCTGCCACTGCTTATAATTGTCCTACCTTTTATTCTTCCTGCCCAGTCTACTTGAACCAAATCTGTCTTCATACCTCTACAATTACCTTTGTTTAACTCCAGACCACTAAGGTGGGACTCCAGTTTCTCACCTTTCACTAAATTTGAAATTTTACCATGCTCTTCCCTAGAGAATCCTTCAGTATGAGATCAGTAATTAATCTCATCTCATTACACTATACTAAATCTAGAATAGCCTGCTGCTGGTTGGTTACAAAACGTATTGCTCCAAGAAACAATTCTCAAATACATTCCATCGACTTTCCCTCAAGTTTGATTAATGAATTTGATTAATTATGCATATCAAAATCACCCATGGTAATTTCTGTACCTTTCTTACAATCTCCCAGTATTTCTTGGTTTATACTGCATGACTAATGTTGAGGAGCCTATAGATTACTTCCACTAGGGGCTTCTTTCCTTGCTATTTCTTATTTTTACTGAGAATTATTCTACATGCATATAATTTCTCGCTACAATACTGATCCACTCCTTTACTAACAAAGCTGCACCACTTCATTTTCCTTCCTGCTTATCCCTGTGAAGCATTGAGTGTTCTAGTATATTCAATACATAAACCTGGTCTCTCTGCAACCATGTCTCAGTAATACCAAAAAATCATACCTATTTGTCTTCATTTGCATTGTTAATTTATTAATTTTAATCAGAACGCATTGTAATACAAAGCCTTTAAATTTGTTCTATTATCAAATTTCCCAACTCTGCTATGATTACTTGGTGCAGTACGAGAATTATATGTCCTGTCCCTTCCTTTCATTTTTAGGTAACAATCAGACTCCTCACTAGTCTGCACTTCTGCCCTCTCCTTTAACTTTGATTTTTAATAATTTTCCATGTAGCATGGTGAGTAAGTTTGCAGATGATGCCAAAATAGTTGGTGTGGTGGACAGTGAAGAAGATTACCTCAGAGTACAACACGACCTTGATCATTAGTGGTATTTTGGTAAGGCGAACCAGGGCAGGACTTGTTTGTAAGGACTTGAGGGGGTGTTGCTGAATAAAGTGACCTAAGGGTGCAGGTGCATTGTTCCTTAAAAGTAGAGTCGCAGGTAGACACGGTGGTGAAGAAGGCTTGCTTACCTTCGTTGGTCAGAATGCTGTGCATCACTCAGGATGTGCTGTCTCCCAACTGATTGTGCAAAGATTGCTATAAAAGCGAATGGTATACAGGCGGAGTTGATCAAAAGAAAATCAGATTTCAGGCTGTGCTTGATGTTCCTCTGGATTTGGCATTGAGACGATTTAAGTATGCATTTAATCTTTTCACTGATTAATCTTTTCTTACAGCAGCAGCTGGAGCAGTGTTGATTCTTGGAAGCTATGCCATAGGGATACTTGGATTCCAGGCAGGGCTCTGGTTTGTCAGATGGATGGATAGAGAGAGTGCCATGCTCAGGATCTTGCTCCTTTGGCATCTCTTTTTCTCGAGGCCACTGAACAGGAGCAGATGTTTCTTAAATACAGAAGGGTTAATTGCCTTATCACAGAATCTTTCTCATAACCTGATCAAGCACCTGGACATGGTCAAACGCAATTGATTCGAGGTTCATGACTTGCATGATGGGTTAATTGCTAGATGAGTTCCTTTCTCAGCCAGAGCTTATTATCTTGAGGGATTACATTTAATACTTATCTCACCATGTTGAGTGCACGGGTGCCTTGTGAATAAGTCAGGGGGTGATGCATTTACGCTCCTTCAAGGTGATTGCCTTTGTCTCTGAGATTTCTTAGTCAGGCCTACTTCAGTTGCTCTGGTTTTTCAGTTTGTGAAGCACAGTAATTTAGATGTCCAGCCATCTTAGAAATGGTTGTTTTAAGTTACTTTAAAACTCAATCACTGATATTGATAAATAAATATAGTAATTTTTAATATGAAACATGACTTTGTGACATCATCTTGACTTGGAACTACATACGTGTACCTTCTCTGTTAGCACATCAAACTCCGAGGCCTCCTTTCTTAACAGCACTGTGGATGTATCTATGCCACACAGACTTGCAGTGGTTCAAGAAGTGGTCAACTATCACCACCTTCTTTAGGGAAATTAGCAATGGGCAATAAATGAGCAGTGCCAGTGAAATCCACATCCCTAGAATTGAATTGAAGAAAACACTGCTTGATAAATTAATCTAGCCGAGCGTATTTCATTGTTTTGATGTAGACAAATCAGAAATCATTCCTTTCAGGCAATCAACAAAATGGTAAGTTATCTGACTAAATCACCAATTTTATTTGAACAATGAATCATGAGCCAGCAAAAAGATAAAACGAACCATTCAGATTTTAAACTAATTTCTTCAAACTGTTTTTCAATGCTTTTTTTCTTCGCTGAGGTCTGTATATATACTGATAAGCAGAAATATTGAAACTCCATTTTTGAAAAGTGCACAAATTTAAGCTTGAAATTGATAATTCCATGTTAGAAATAGCAGAAAGAAAAATCTTCCATTGTGTAAGAACACACCACACTCTGGCACCTTTGGTTCAGTTGAAGTTTAGTTACAGCTTTAAAAATCTAGTATGTTATGAATGAAATTCCAGCACCTGATAGTTGATTTGTGAATGTCGTTAAAATATTGTATACGGAGAGATTTGTATCCTTCTGTATCAGGAAATTTTATATATTATGTTGCCAGAATTTTGAGGGCTAATTGGAAATGTGAAGAAGTAGTTTTGCACCACTGGCTAATATGCCAGTTTGCTGGTCCCATTTTGTGCCTCAGCAATTTTTGGAAACGCTGAGTTGATTGGAATTACTACCAGCCTGCAAACTGCAAGTAGTCAACTGATGTAATTGAAAGACCTCGGATTCCGATTTTGTGCCAAATTTAACAGTTGGCAGGCAGACCTCACATGGCCAGAATGTAACTGGGAGATTGCCTTCAGAAACAGAGGGTTGTTTCAAGGGTGCTTGGTAGTGGACATATTTCATTCTGCTGGGCAAGCCACTACATCCTCTGACCGCATATTGATCGTGCATTAGGCTAAAGCTGCAGTTGCTAGCTGTTCAGTGGAAGGGTTGCCCTTCCACAAACTCTGTCTGACACCAGATTTTCAGGAAAATCTAGGCCGTTATGTTTAATGTCCTGAACATTATCCATATTGTATGTAACGCAAATAATTATAGTTTATAATTTAGTCATAGAATCTTTGTAGTGGAGGCATTTAAAAAAAAATAGAATGCTTTTAAGGATTTTATTCTGTGGTACTTCTTATTTCACTGGTTTCAGATTTGTAAAGGATTTACTTAATGCACTCATGATTAATGAAATTTAAACTTCAATGCTAAGATCTGTTAGCATTGCCAGCAGAAGATATATCCATGTTAGTCCGTGCATTCATATCAAAATGATATGTGATTTGCTGATTTCAATGACTTATGCAAGCAAAACATTTGAACATGCCTGTTTTAGAGCAGTACAGAATAAATAATTAACTTTATAGAAGCACAAGTGCTGGTTACTGTTGTAATTAGTTCATTTGACCGTTTTAATCACTTCTAAGTTTGATATAAATGCATTAATCAGAACTAGTAATGCCCTAGAGTTTTAATTGTAATTGAATTTCTATTATGTTTCTTTATGCAAGTTCAGTAATAGTTAGATGCATGAGGTGGATAATTATAGTTGGTATTCTATATTTAACAAATGTTTATTTTTTATAGTGCCTGCTTTGTACTACAGACAAATAGTTGAAATCTTGACAGTAAACACTGTTTTCTGTAAGCATTCTTAATTTTAGGCTGGAGGAACGTTTGGCTTGCATCTTCAAAATGAATATAGTAGATTGTCAAAGGAATGTTGTTCTTCCACTTAACTTTCAAAATTCTATCTACATTATGCAATAGTGTGGAAGATTATATGGCTGAGGAGAAAACTAGAATGTGTAGACTCAGTATTAAAGTAGCTTCTTGATTGTTTGAAGGTGGACTACATGGATGAAAATGAGGAATATTTTCAGCGGCAAGCTTCTCATAGACAGTCTCGCAGGCGATTCAAAAAAATTAACCAGAAAGGGGAGCGACAAACAATCATTGATACAGTGGATCCTTATCCAGTGGGAAAGCCACCGTTACCAAGAGGATATCACACAGTAAGTCTTTGGTAAACTTTATTCATTACAGTTTTGTTTTATTTCAATGAATTGTCAACATACACTGTTATAATAGTGTTAAAAACCGATTAAACACAAACTCCTGCTAAACATGGTGTTCCTGATACAGTTGCTTAGTGTATTGCCCTTCCATCTTTGCTGCCTATGTATAAATTCAAGCCTGTTTGATAGTACAAAAGTCATAACTGGTGGTGTACTTGGACTTCCAGAACACATTTGAACAGTGACTACATCAGACTTGTGAGCAATGTTAGAGCTCATGAAATAAAAGGGACACTAGCAACGCAGGCGCAAAATTGACTGAGTGACAGGAAACAGGAATAGTTAATGGAATTTTATGGGGCTGCTGGATGAAGGTTTGTAGCAGAGTTCCCCAGCAGTCAGTGTTGGGATTCTTGCTTTTCTTGATTTCACAGAAGTGTCACAACACAGAAGGAGGCTGTTCGGCCCACCGTACCTGGTCTCTGGCTTGTTTGTCCAAATAATCATCGAATGCTGTCTTGAATGCCTCAATTGAATGGTTTATATTAACGGTGGTGGTTATTAGTTTATGGGGCACAGTTTCAAAATTTTTGGACGATGTTAAACTTGATAAGCGTTGTTAACTGTGGAGAGGACGGTTTAGAATTTCAATAGGGCGTAGACGAATTGGTGGTTTGATAGACTTGTGACAGATAAAGTTCAATGCAGAGAGGTGTGAAGTGATACATTTTGGGAGGAAGAACATGGATGGACAGTATAAAACAAAGGGTGCAATTCTGAAGAGGTTATAGGAGCAGAGAACTTGTGTGTATATGTACTTAAATCATTAAAGGTGGCGGGACAAATTGAGAGAATAATTAGGAAAGCATTCAGTGTCCAAGGTTTTATTAATAGAGACATAGAGCACAAGTGCTAAAAGATTGTGATAAACTTTTATAATTCAATAGTTCAGCCTCAGATGGAATATTCAGTTCTGGATGATGCACTTTGGGAAGGATGTGAAAGCGTTCGTGAGGGTGCCAAAGAGGTTGATGAAAATGGTTTCAGCAATGAGAATTTTAGCTATGAGTATAAATTGGCCAAGTTAGGTCTGTTTTCCTTGAAGGAAAGTCTGAGAGAAGATCTGCTAAAGATATTCGAAATGATGAGCAGTCAGAATAGGGTAGTTAGAGAGAAAATGTTCCTGGTCCTGAAAGGATTGTCAGGGCACAGATTTAAATCAATTTGTAAAAGAAGCAAAAGTGATATGAGAAGAACTTTTTAACATAATGAGTGGTGATTGTCTGGAATGTATGTCATGGGGATGCACGTTCATTTGAGGCATTCAAAAGGGAATTAAATTTTTATTTGAAAGGAAAAACATGCAATGGGTTACAAGAAGAAGGTGGGGTACTGACACGAAGTGATCTGCTGTTTCTGAGAGATGACGCAGACATGTTGGACCAAATGCATTTCCTTTCTGTATTGTAACAAGACAGTGATTACAGTGCCAAAATCATCTGTTTGGTACGTCTCTCAAAAATGACTCTGAAAGAAAGGTTGAAAGAAAGCTACTAATTGCATTGACTGAATTTCACTTAATAAAGAAAGAATGGTGGTTTTGAACTGAAATCAGAGTTTGTGATTCAATTTTTCTTATTTCGTTAAAATGGTGTTTTTTTAACTGCTAAGCGACATTGGTAGTTTTAAAGTATCACTTGTCGAAATCCTGCTCCTGTCTTTTTAGTTTAAAATTGTGGCGGTCCTTGTATAATGCTCCTGTGAACTGTCGGAAGAATAATGATGTACGTTAGAATCCTGCAGTTAAGTTTCTAAAATCCTTACTTTGTGGTTCAGTATCTGGGTCTTTCAAACTGTCACCAAGATAAAGGAGACAACAAGGTGCAGGGCTGGATGAACACAGCAGGCCAAGCAGCATCATAGGAGCAGAGAGGTTGATGTTTCGGGCCTAGACCCTTCATCAGAAAAGGGGGAGGGGAAGGGGGTTCTGAAATAAATGGGGAGAGAGTGGGAGGCGGATAGAAGAGGGATAGAGGAGAGGATAGGTGGAGAGGAAACAAATAGGTCGAAGAGGCGGGGATGGAGCCAGTAAAGGTGAGTGTAGGTAGGGAGTTAGGAAGGGGATAGGTCAGTCCAGGGAGGACGGACAAGTCAAGGGGGCGGGATGAGGTTAGTTGGTAGGAGATGGAGGTGCGGCTTGAGGTGGGAGGAGGGGATAGATGGGAGGAAGAACTGGTTAGGGAGGCAGAGACGAGCTGGACTGGTTTTGGGATGCGGTAGGAGGAGGGGAGATTTTGAAACTTGTGAAACCCACATTGATACCATTGGGCTGCAGGGTTCCCAAGCGGAATATGAGTTGCTGTTCCTGCAACCTTCGGGTGGCATCATTGTGGCACTGCAGGAGGCCCAGGATGGACATGTCGTCTGAGGAATGGGAGGGGGAGTTGAAATGGTTCGCGACTGGGAGGTGCAGTTGTTTATTGCGAACCGAGCGTAGGTGTTCTGCAAAGCGGTCCCCGAGCCTCCACTTGGTTTCCCCGATGTAGAGGAAGCCACACCGGGTACAGCGGATGCAGTATACCACATTGGCAGATGTGCAGGTGAACATCTGCTTGATGTGGAAAGTCTTCTTGGGGCCTGGGATGGGGGTGAGGGAGGAGGTATGGGGGCAGGTGTAGCACTTCCTGCGGTTGCAGGGAAAAGTGCCGGGTGTGGTGGAGCTGGAGGGGAGAGTGGAGCGGACAAGGGAGTCACGGAGAGAGTTGTCCCTCCGGAAAGCAGATAAGGGTGG